TAAAGAGGCATTACTACTGCATCTGCCACACTGTTCAATCTCAACCACAAGCTTTTATATAAAAGGCCAAGTCTAGGCAAGTAATTCATAAAGAATGTATGTTTGCTTTGCAACATCTCTTCTAACAGACAATACTTTCCTTCGAGCTTACTGTTATTCAAAGTGTTTCAATAAGCTGATCAGCAAAAATATTTGTTGTAACTTGAAGTGTCAAAAATGGCATTGTTTAGATGGGTGAGCAACATTTGCAGTTGAATTTTGCATGGATGTTTATGTAAAAGAATCAAAAGATTTGCCCTCAATGTCTGAAGGAATTAAGAAATATCTCTGTATATACACTTGTAAAACACAAACGTACAGTAATAACAGAAAATGAATAGAAAAGTTTATGAATAAGACTAAAATTATTTTAGAGTGGATATTCAGGGACTCCTTTCATTATAAAGGCTCAATTCCTTTTAGTTCTGAGAAGTGATGGAGAAAGACAGTCTTACACAAAAGAAACATCCATCTTGTTTAATCTTCAATTAAAACTTAATTTCTCTAATGCTTTAAGGAATATGCATACAAAATATACACAACAAACTGTTTCAATCTTCTTAAGAAACTTTTTTGTATTACTAAAAGCAATAAAAGTTCCATGCAGTATTTTCTTTAACATAGGCAACACCCTAATCTGGTTATCCCATCTGCTGTCTAGGTGAGAGAAGTGTTCATGTAGTTAAATCCCAGTAAAGGGAACAGGAGAGCAGGATTCTGTTTTTCACTTTGCCAAGGGTATAAAATAATAGTTTCAATAATTTACATACCAAGTACACCATTCAGTACTGAGCATTTGATTTTGAACAAGCATTTGATTTTGATTTTGCCATGTCCTTAATATTGATGCCTAATCTCCCCATACAGTGAAGTCTTTCACCTTCTGATTTTGTTTGCCAGCAAGAGTGTCTGAAACAGACCCGAGTCTTCCTCCAGTTACTGGGAAATCTCCGCTATGGCTATATCTCAGAATTTATTGAGCTGAAACAATGGGATTGTCTTCCTGTTCAGTTTCACAACACACCTGCACAAAGAGCTGTGCTGGTCCACCATGCCACAGTGGTGGGAATGAGTGACAGGACTATAATAAGCCAACATTTTTATGAATGGGCAAAGAGTAAAAAAATATCAGGGAGGAGAAAAAGCCAACTTGAGAAGTGCATCTCAAGCCCACTCCTTCTTAGGGGTTAACGTCTCTTCTCCTGTACCATGGACTGCTTATAGGGGTTAAAACTGCCTTGATCAGCCTTTCCATGGCATAGTGAAAATCTGCACATACTTCAACAGAAAGTAAAGTACATTCCTGAGCTGTGAGATGGCCAGGTCCAAACCTCACACTTCTGCTTAAAAGAAATATCAGAACAATTTCTTAAAATCGCCTGCAAAATTCTCAACCTTGATAATGGGTGCATATGGATAAGCACTTTTAGACTTTCCTGTTGCAGTGGTTTTGATGTATATGAAATAGTAAAATACTAAGTCGTGCCAGGTATAACCATATTGACTTCAGCCTACTGATCTTGGCATCCCTCTATTTCAAAAACTAATGTTAAAATAGCCATAAAAGGCCAGACTAAAGTTATTTTTAGACAGTAACTTTTGTGAGTGAGCTATAGCAGAAAACTACAAAAAAAAAACCAACCATAGAGCAAGATAGGGGCATTCCCTGAACATACCTCCAGCCATTAGCAACTTGTAAGTCAGGGTCTTTGGAGCTAAATTGCACCTCTGTATTTATTCTTGCATTTTCCTCCACAAAGCATTTCCTTCAGCTGTCACAAACATACTTCCAAATACCTTGTCTGCCTCTATTTTTGAGCTCATGTAATGCTGTTGTATTTGTAATACCCACCAGCAAGCATACTGAAGCAGTGCTTCTTTGAAGCATTTATACCATACATAACAGTTCCATCAGAAGAGAGTAAAAGTTTCAGAATAAATATTTAAGTTATATAAACCAAATAAAATAAACATGAACAGAGTAATTATGCAAGTGTAACCTGGATGTTAGAGCAATCTTCTGTTCACTAGTGGACCAACTATACCTATGCACGTGAGTATTTTATGAACTTTCAGAGCTAAATAGATATTAAATAGCACGCGAGGAGCCTCATAACAAAACCAGATGTACAGCAGATGCAGGGTGTCTTTTCTGTGGGTTTAGCCCTTTGTACCTCACCTTCCACTTCTGTCATATTTTCCTGCTTCAGCTAAGCATCATTCACCATTTAAGTTTAAATTCTATAAAAACCATTTACAGACATAAAAAGGCATGCCCTCCTAAGTTTTTGCAAGAACAGATGTTTAGTGAGTAATGATTTTTGAAACCTGGGACAGAGAACACCAAAAAAGTGCAAAGGATTTTTAGCAAGTTACCCCAGAAGTATTTAAAATAGTAATAATAATTTAAAAATCACTTTAGTTTCTTCACTTTCACATTCCTGGTACAGGATGATGACAGCCTGAAAAAAGAACAAAAATAAACACTCCCCCTCCGCTAAGGAATGTCTTCCCCATCTCTCGCTCCTTTTTTTTTTTTTGTTTTTTCCTTTTGCCCCCCAGTTTTTAGCCGGTTTGCGCACTGCGGGGCCGGGGCTGGGAGCGAGGGGACGAGGAGGAAGAGGCCTGGGACC